TGCCGGGCCGAGCGCGCCGCCGTGGGTCTGGCCCGCTCCCTGAGGCCGGAGAGGTTCTCGGGTCCCCTTGGGAAGAACCTGCTGCCCACAAGGTTTCAGGCTGCTCTGAGCGTCACCTGCTTGCTCGTGGATTCGCGGAATCTGCGGTCCGCACAAGATGAGTTAGGAATCACAGCGGGGGCTGGTTCCTTTAGGTACAGGCGTCTGCGATCCAACAGTCCCCAAAGAAATCCAGTGCTGTGAAGACAGACTGGTTTTGGAACCCAACTAGCTTTGATTCCAAGAGCATTTTGATGTTTAGAAAAAGGAAAAAATTGGCCCTGAGATATCTTCTGATAGTTCGATTATTCTACCCTTTGTGACTGTGTACCAATTACATATTCAAATAGCAGGGCCAGGATCATCCCTTTAAAAGGCAAGACCTACAAAATATACTGCAATGCACACACTTATACAATATTCCTTCGTCTCCACGTGATTAGGTCAACAATGGTTTATATATCTAATATTTTTACCACCAGACAAGGGTAGAGTTCTATTTTAATCCTTTCATAAAGACAAGTACCATCTGGATATATATTCTGCTGCTACAGATCTTAGGGAAACTTGGTTTATTTTCACAAATATACACGTTCTGGGTTCCAGCGCTGCATACATAGCATCAGGTACAGAGGAGTTTGTAAGCTGTTAGGGGTGAAACCCAAGTACTTGCCTACCCCTGCGCCTCATTCAGTAGAGTCCCAGCCCTTTGTTCAGTGGTGTACTGGGAAGCGTGTGCTTTCATTAAAAAAAAAATTTTTTTTAACAAAAGCAATTACAGAAAAGTCTAAATTTAACGTGTGACATTTAACATTTTGCCGTGGCAGGCAGCCTCTACTTAAATGGGGCCTTTCTGTGGAACAACAGGAGCCAAAAGGCCTTGTGTCATGGAGTAATGTAAGACACAATCTGAGCTGCAAACGCACAATGAATCGGGAAGGATTTATGTAATTAATTGACCAGTCTTAACCTGTTATCGTGATGTAAGGAATTTGGAACTCATTAATTTGGGCTCTGACAGATTTCATATTAGAGCTGGCAAATATGGATTGAGCCTCTTATTCTTGTAGCAGCTGGAATTTCCATGACAGCGAGGATTAGTGAAGAAGACCTATTGCTAGAGTCAAGCTGCCTCTTTGTAATCAGTAGCCCTGCTCTGCATTAAAGGAATAATTTTTAAAAAGGAAGAAGAAGAAAAAAAAAAGGAAAGTGCATATTACCTGGCATAGGAAATGGAAAGGGCTCTTTTCACCCTACTGTTATGTGTGTTGAGTGCACACATTTGAAGTTGAATGAAACTATTTATTTCAATCATAAAGTTGGGTGATTTCTTAAGCACTCAAAGGAAGAGAAGGTAGGGTTTTAGGGTTGCTTTCCTATTGTCAAAGTTTAAAAGGAAAAGGTGCAGGCATTGAATTTCTTCCATGTGCACCAAGAGACTGTAGGAAGAAAGAAACAGTAGTATTATGAGAGGCAAGCTGGATTTCTTGTAGTATCTAAGCATAAATGAGCCTGCAGGCAAGACTGGCTTTCTCAGAAGCCACTTCTGCCTCTCTGGTCAGAGATACTTAGTGAACCTCGTGAAACCCAGAACGCACACAATGAGCATTTAGCTGATAATCTAATCTGTGTCCTCTTCACATTGTGTAATGTTTAATGAATCACCCATTTGTAAATGTCAGGTTTCTTCTTTGAGATTTTAAGAAAGCTCAGTAAAAGCAGAACTTTCGTTTTTCCCCTCTTGACAATCAGAAAATTACAGGTTAAAAAAAGTTCCCAGAGATTAAATGAAATGGTTTTCCCCCCCTTTGTTTACAATAGGTCTCCCTTATTGCTATGCTGTGTGATAAAGTTAATACAACAACTGCCATAAGAATCATTAATACAGGAAGATAAGCACAGTTGCATGTTTAAAACATTTGCAAGGTATCATTTGCCTCCTTCTGCTGATAAAGAAGACTTTGGTGACGAACACAGAGCATAGGCACTGAATGTTTAAATTTTTAGACCCCAATTGTCTTTTCCTAAATATGTTGTTATGCCTAAATACTCTTCAAAGTTGGGTGCTGAGTGCTCTTGAAATATGTTTTTAATTTGCTTATTACCTTTAGAATTTTTTCAGTCAAACACAATTTACATTTTAACATAACAAATATTGTTATAAATCTTTGCAAAAACAAAAGATTTTCTCCCTTGCTTACTTTGTTGTCTTCATTCCAACCAAATTTCAGTGTAAACAATTTTCTTTTTAGTCAGTGATAATGGGATTTGATATATCAATGAAGGACTTGGTACAGAGATTTGTTTGCGATTGTCTTGTTAACGAGTGAATTCTTCAGCCTTGTTTCCATTTAAATGAATGCATAAAGATAAACACTAGAATTTGCATCAATATATTAATGTTATCCTTCACATTGAGGACAAAAAGAGAGCTAGTAGTTGTTATTGGTATTATTATTTCAGTGGAATGGCAATGAAGATAAACAGCTGATATCAGCAAGGCTGGGATAACTAGTATAAACCATGACAAGGGCGATTAATAGTGTATATAAACATTCAAAGTTTGTGTACATGATCTCAGCTCTCACCTAGGGATTTCTTTGTATTGTTTAAAAGAGTGATTTGTATGTTGGCAATTGCAATGTTATCAATTTGTGTGCTGTATGTCCTCTTTGTACATCAGAAGTATGGAATACATACATTGGAGCATGATTTATTTGCCAGAGACAGTATTGATCTGGAAGGAAGTTTGGTGAATTAGAATCTTGCTGTGCTGCTGGCTTGTACTCAAAGGTAGCTTCCAACTTCTTTGAACCTGTGTCCTCATCGGTGCAATGCAAAAATAATACAGAATGTCCTAAAGGTGTTCCCCAGAGCACTAGTTCTAGGATGTGAATGTGTTACTAAAAATTGGAAGGATTTAAAAAAAATGGATGGAAGTTTCCCTGGTCATTCACATTTCTGATACATTGGGTTAAGCAATGTTTAAAATTAGTGTTTTGCAGGACTTTTGTATGTCACTGTTCCCTATAAGTGTGTGTGTGTGTGTGTGTGTGTGTGTGTATGTGTTCCTAAACTGATTTGAAGAAGAGAATCTAAACTTCTAGGATTCCCTTGAGACTGTCATACTTGAGATTCCTTCTGAGAATGACTAATGGGTACTTGAATTCACCCTGGGTTTGAGGTCAGGGTTTGAGGAAGATGTGGATGTCACTCAGTGAGAAAGATTCTGTTTTAGAGACAGGGAAGCAGGGAGGATGGTACTAAGTTTAATGCTCAGTTTTATTGTTTACAAAATGAGTGACCTGATGCAAGTCACACAGCCTTTTCGGAGTTTGTGTCTTCATGAAAGCTTGAAAATAACACTGCAGATGGAACACTTTGTACTCCCTCTGTGAAAAAGCCTTTTCCCTGACCTCCCAATACCTCTTACTTGGGACATTCCTACTTGTTATTCAGGACTCGGTTAAGCGTCCCTGTGCTCTGATGCCTGCTCTGTCTGCTCTGTGTTTCATAGCCCAGCCCGCCTTCCCTCAGGGCCTTGGTGGCAGCACTCCTAGCCCTGTACCTGCAGCCCAGTCACTGTCCCCTCTTCAAGCAGTGGCCCCTGGAAGATGAGCTCTGCCTTTCATCTTGGGCCCTCTCTTCTTCCCCCAGGACTGCTCAGAGTTCAGTACAGAGGACTGTTGTCATTCGCAGAGTTTGGTTCAGGAGCTCAGACTGGGAGCGTAAGGTGCGGAATCACCAGGCAGACTCCAGGGAGGTTTCAGGAATGCTTCCGCTTTATTTAGGAAATGCACAGGCTTATATAGCTTACATGTGGACAACCATGGGGGAGGACCATGGGAGGAGCATTTAATTATATGGCACTTTCTTATAGGTTATGCAGTAGTAGAGAACATTGGGCGATATCTTATTGGCTAGACATATGGTGGGGTGATTTTTCTTGGGCAAGGTGAAGGTGTCACAGACTAGGGGCGGAGGTGTAGCCTGTTAGACCCAGCCTCTATGCACTTAGGTGAGTTAGCTCAGCCTCAGAGAGGTCTTTGAGTTTGCTTGGAAGGCAGGAGTGCAGTGCACCTGGCCCAGCCAGGCTTGAACTTCTCTCACAGAGGACACCCTGGAGTCTCTGAGGAATTTACCAGTGTGTGGTCAGCAAGAGGCCCACATTCCCTTCTTAAAGCCGCTTTCCTGTGGCAGAATAGCACACATATCCAGTTAGAAGGAGTTAGAGCTTGGTGGTAGGTGGTTAAGAGATGAATGTCTCATTAACCTGGGAGAAACTTAAGCCACCCCATCCCTCTGTTTCTAAATGATGATGCCCCATTTCTCATTTCTCCTCAGCAGTAAAATGATGATGTCTTTGTCCATCCATGAGGTCTACATGACAGTCAAAAAATGCCTTGGTGTGGTAGCACATGCCTGAAATCCCAGCACTCTGGGAAGCTGAGGTGGGTGAATTGCAAGTTCAAAGCTAGCCTGGACAATTTAGTGAGATCTCATCTCAAAGTAAAAGGAGGGTGCAGGGGATGTTCCTCAGTGTGAAGGCCCTGGCCTCCTCAGTACTACTCAAACAAACAGATTCACTTGGAACTCCTCCTCTCCTCAACCATAGAGACTATTCATGAAATATTTTGGTAAAATGTTTCTTTTGGTGAACTTGTTTCTAATTAGACACTGTGCCTAG